TGTTTGTCTTCCGTTCCAACTTACCAAGTGAAGTTAATTAGAAAATTCAACAAAGGTGAGAACAACCAAAAGTCTCTGTCACTCTCTGTCAAGCTTGCAGTCAAGCCTACACAATCTCTCTATTTTGGGGCCAGAGAAAATATACATAACTCAGTCATTACAGTGTTGTTGAAACTAATGTTCCTTAAGGGCCAGAGAAAATATACATAACTCTGATATTTTGATGTAAAATGTAATTATAATTGTCAGGTGTCATAACGTTTGACTCTAAGTCACCCAATAAAGTGACATAGCACAACTGTATGTCAACAAACATCTGTCACTTGACTCAGGTGTTGTGTCAAACTTGACCTTAAAATTGAAGTAGTCTCAATGACAGCAGATTCCTTTTTCAATAATCTTTTATAAGTGTTTATGTAGGTCTATCAATTGCTATGAATAGCTTATGTACTGTAGATGCCATGTAACATTGACCAAACTTTCATTTTATAAATGAAATTGATAACACAAATAATAAAAGTAGAGGAATCTGACCTTTAATCAATCATGTTTTTGGAATTAAATAGCTTTCTTCAGGCAGCCTTTTAGAGTAATGCACATTTGAGTTATTAGGCCTGTCTGAGACAGATCCCTCCGCAGTCATTTGTAAGTGGCATCTCACTGTGTAGCGGGTTAACACAGCTGCAGAAGGCAGTTTACTCAGTGACACAATTGGCCTACGTGTGTAAGAGTTTCCACTGAGGTCTGGATGAGCGATGCTGTGCTACAGAGTTGATCTCTACTCCAGTTCTGTGGTCAGTCCAGACTATAAACAAACGCTGCTGTGTGTTACATGCGCCCATCACACCTACAATATAACAGGAGTGACTAAGGCAGCACAAATGGCACTAATTAAGCTAGCGCACATTTTTGAAAGAACGTCTAAGCATTGATAACTACCACGACTCAGACCTCACACTATTACTCTGCAGTTCTGAGGTCTTGCTACGAGAAGATTAAGCCTCAGAGCCACAGTGCAAGAATTATTGGCAAATGTAAAAAACAATAAATTTGTTTTGACAAAAATCATCCAAAAGACTGAATTAAAAGTGCAGAGCTGCATTAGCATAGTCTGTTACCTATTATAAATTACTGTGGATCAGATAACGACTTTAGCAGACAATTTAGCATGCAGAAATAGCCTCCAGTGAAAAAAGGACATCCACATTTCAGTCTTATTTTTAATGCAAGTTACAGATATTCACAGAATTGTGTCTGTTATCTTTGGAATTTGTAGACTTAAATGGTGAAATGGTGAAAATGAAATCAACTATAAATGAATCAAAACATTTAAAACTCTATGTCTGAATGTAATGTTTACTGAGTGCAAAAGTGAAACTGTCTTCTTTTGCTTTTTTTTTTTTTTAAATACAGCCTATTTTTCATTTTTAAAGTTTTCGATTTTAAAACTCTGGTTTAGCTCTAAGAATGTTGAAAATAATGCAAAATCAGTATGGCAATAAGGTATCTGGAAAAATACTCAAGAAGCCTTTCCAACAAAACAAACATTTTGACAACATTTTAATTCATGCATCTGCTTTCTCTTTCTGGTCTAATGGTTAAACTGAAGATAAAACTTATTCAGTTCTCATTTTCCTTTTCTTACAGTGCCCATACTGTTACCACAAAGGCTTTTTTGTAACCACACAGTAAAAAATGCACCTAACATAGTGAGAAAAATCTAAACATGTTTTTACCCACGTGTGTTTTCCCCAGTATTACACATAACTTCTAGAGAATAAAGCTTAAAGCTTTAAGCTTTATTTAAACTGCGACTGAACTATTATCTGTTTCTTGATCACTTACAAATGAAATTCTGTGAAAACCATCATGTCTTCCTGTTGGTCAGAGCTGACACCATAAATACATTTATTGCATGCTGCCATTAATATCCACAGGAAGAAGTTAAGACACACCAAAGCTACAAAAGAAGGGAAGTTAACTGTCAAAAATATGTCTTATTTTGAAGCTTAATTCTTTCCTAGGGATATAATTAAATAATACCAAACGTAAATAATTAAATAACACCAAAAGTAAAAACATACTCAGTAAGTAGCAGGGGCCTTGCGTGTAAAACAAAGGCAGGCAGGAAGGAAAGATATAGAACATAGTTTCGTGACTGTTTTAGCTACTTGGTGAGAAAGTTAGCCACACTGTCTTTATAGATAGGTAATCAAGCTGCATTTGTTTTAATTTACATAAACCAGCTAAAACCATTCACAGCTTACCTGCTTCTCAACACTTGTATGAAATGTTTGTGAGAATTTAAACCTTAATATTTAAACCTTAAGAACTTAAACCTTAAGTTTCCGTCATAACTTAATCTCATGTTGTTGGGTCTCTGGCAGCCAGAAGATCATTGAAAAACAAGGGAAAGGGACCAACTGCAGCTAGAATGGAGGAGAATGATTTGTACAGCTCTGTATATTCATAAACATGAATAGCAGATAGTCCATATAGTGTTATTTTAAATGATCAAAAGTGTTATTAATTATATTATTGCACTTAAATTACATTCCTGTATTATATTCATTTATCTTCAGTAACTGTTTTTGGGAAGGTGTCGGGAAATTGGAGAACCCAGAGTAAACCCACATAGACATGTTGAAAACATGGGAAACGCTACACAGACAATAATCTGAGCTCAAGATCAAACCGGGGACCCCGGAGCTGTTAGTGCAGCAACGCTGTGCTGACCACTGTGCTGCCCGGTATTACAGTCATGCATCATAAGAGGATCATAAGATGGTGATCTGAATGTATAAAAGAATAAAATGTCATGCAGAAAGATGTCAAAAGGATAAGAGTTGGTTTCCTTGAAGAACATATGATTAAAATAAAGAAAATGCTACACATTTTTATGCTAAAACAAATTGCTATCTATCCTCCTAAAGGCTTATGATACTCATCACAAAAAATCTAATGGCAGGCTTCAGCTTCTCAGAGGGGAAAAATACTGAAGGCTCCACGGGATAGAAAATGATGTCATGCTAGAAGACAGTCATCTAGCTGTATTACATTAAGGGATTATAATGCGCACTTCTAAAACATGATTCTTGCCTGTGATCAGTGAACTCGCAGGCATTTAGGAGATGTTCAAAGTAACCACAAGGCATCACTAGAGTACAGTTCGCTTTTGAAGTGTGCACCCACAAACACTATTGCTTGTGCGAAGAAAGTTAATGGACAGTGAATCGGAAATTGAAAAAGAGCTTGCACTAAGATTTAGATCCTTAAACTACCATGATCCATCAGCAGGTCCAGATGTGCATTCCTCACTCTCATAACTTTCTTATTAATTTCACTGTAGTTACTGAATCACTTATAGTTGTTACTGATTAATATGTTCTAATGTAAATAACTGTGTTTTTTTTATTTCATGTCAAAGGATTTGTGACTGTGCACTGCAAAAAAATGATATCTTAGCTTGTACAAAAAGTTTTTGAATAAAAACAAATTCAACTCGTATTTCTCTTTAGTGGTTTGTTTTTAAACAGATTATTAATCTTATTTATTAGATTTTTTTACTCATTTCAAACTTGAAAATTGTCTTATTCCATTGGCAGATAATTTTGCTTATTTCAAGCAATTATTTCTAGAAAGAAGCAAAATTATCAGTCAGTATAGAATAAGACCATTTTAAGCTTGAAATGAGTAAATATGTGTAGAAGTAGGCTTAATGGTCTTATATTTGTTATACAATAATCTCACAATGAGAAATATTAAATACACTTTCCTTTATTCAAGATATGTTCATTTGCTAATATATATATTTTTTTCCAGTGTGTTATCCACCAACAGGCAGTAAAATAACCCTACTACATCACTGTGTACAGATTAAATTTGAGTCATCTACAGGAGCAGGTGACGAGAGTAGGGAGCTAATCTGGGTTCCTTTTTGGGCTATGAATACACTGATCTCTTCAGATCTGTGTTATTAACCCACACACCCACATACTACACAAAGATATCTAGGGTTTTTTTTCTTCCAGTATCATTGAACTTTGTGGAGGAGTATACAAGGGCAAGCAAAGAGTGTTTTAGAGAGTTCCTAATTTTTGCCTTTCCTGTATGATCCTCAAAACGAGAGCAAAATAAAGTGCACACTGTGTTTGCTTTTCTTGATATACCAAGCTTGAACAGATTTGCACTTCTATCATTTCACAGGAACAAAACATGAACAGCTCTAATAGAGGGACAGACAGCAGATATTAAACTAGCTTCAATGTCAGTTTTACTCTGCACACGTTTGGACACTGGAGCGTATTTTCATTCTGAGAAAAGAATTCTTTACTTGCTTACTATGCTTTTGATTTAGATAGAGCCTTATTCTCGAATTTTTCATTGGGTATGGTATCCCTTTTCTATCAAAAATTACACATAAAATGACATTTTATAGCAAGTCAGTATGCCCGTTTTTTTTTTGTTCGTTTTTTTGTGTGTTTCTTACAAACGTGTTACAGCTCTGTGAAAAAAGTGTTACAGCTCTGTGAAATTCAGTTTTGCAAAAGTACTTCTGATAAAAACCACAATGTCAGCTGCTCATGGGTTTAATTAATTCTCATATTTACAAAAGTGAGTGAAATGAAATCTTTAAAAGTGCAAGATCAATTAAAATTGAATCAAGCTGTTTTCTGGAGGAATGCAGACACTCATTAGGTGCTGGAACACTTGCACTGAATGAAATGGAGATTTTGACACCTGTTTGCAATAAACAATGCAAAATGTAAAAAAAAAAAAAAAAGGTTTTCATTTGACTCACCCTTATAGTTAATCGATGTAGGCAAAAAGGCCCGTATTTATCCAAATTGCTGTATGTAATATGTAATTAATTTTAATGGTAATTTATAATTTATTTTAAAATGACATTTTTAAAAAAAATGAGAGTACATTCTTTGAAAGATTTTTAAATCTTAGACTAGTGTTACAAGTTGGGTATAATACTATAGGATTGGTTAGGGTCCCTGGAGGACTAGTGGTTAGTCCTCGGTGCTCTCACCACTGCAGCCCAGGTTCGAGTCCCGGCCAAGGAACCAACCCACAAGTAACACAAGACAGCGCGCTCCCAGTGCCGGGCCCAAACCCAGATAAAACTGGGGAGGGTTGTGTTGAGAAGGGCATCCAGCGTAAAAACTGTGCCAAATCAAATATGTGGACTGATGATCTGCTGTGGGGACCCTAACGAGAGCAGCCAAAAGAACAGCAGCAACAACTATAGGATTGGTTACAGGATAGTAACCATAAGACAAGAGCATGAGGAAGCTGAAATAAATGTAGACCTTGTCACTTATTGCAAAACATATGAGCAATGTTAAAAAAAAAAATAGATCGTATGTTTTCAATCTACAGTTGTTTTCTCTGGTAATGCAAAAAGCAAAAAATGTTAAAATAGCCACATTCTATTACTGACACACTTTTGACCCAAATCACCAACAAAACATTACAGTTAACACTATCACTAACAAACACTAACACTACAAAATCTAGCTCGCATTAAAAAAAAGAAACCTGCCAGCTTTGACGGGTGTTATTGGCGTAGTGCTGGCTCACACTTCCTGTACTTTAAGAGCGCTTGCGTGTGTTCTGGCCACACAAATACACACATGGGCACACACACACACACACACACACACAGACACACTCATATCAGTAAAAGATAATGTATTTTATAGTAATAATTACTGGTAGTGTCTTGATGTTGATAATTCCTATCATGTTAAAAGGAAATGAAATAATCACACCATTTTGAAACACATCTCTAATACAAGAACATGGTCAGTGGTTGTGTGCTTTTGTCTTCCTCATTTCAGCAGAGGAAGTGTTCAGCCAGAGGCAGGGTTCTCACTTTTAGACTCAAGCCCTTCAACACTGAAGTGTCAGTGCATTGTTGCAGTGCAAATGTAACAAGTCTCTGCACATCTCTACTGACACAGTAGTTAGCCTTCCTCTGCCATTCACCAGTGATGACTCCATCGTAACTGTCTCCTTTAAAGGGAATGGATACATATCAGCTCAAGAACTGAAATAAAGGTGAGTTTGGATTTTTTTTGTTTGTTTTACATTTTTTCTAAAAAATATATCTTTCTTTTGTTTACATGCTCAGTGTGTAATGGATGTAATTCATCAGCTAAAATTTGCACAGCCACATTTAGCTTGTTTTATGATTGCATTGTACATAATTCATAAAATGTGTCCCATATTTGCCCTGATTATTTCATTTACATTTGTTAATATGACATTGTACATTCTGTATCTTTGTCCTATGACCTATATGCCTACTTTCAGTACTGACCCCTCCCTTTTCTAGCATTTTCTACCTGTTAAGAGACAGAAGGGTATACATGACTTTAGTGACAAATAGAAGAGGCTTGGATAGTTTCTTTTACCAACCTTGAAATGTTTGATATGATTCACATATCATATCAAACAGCTGGGTCTATCAAAGGCTTGTTTTTCTTCGTTGCAGTCAATTATTCAAAGAAAGTTTTTCATGTTTGCAAATGGGTTTCCAGTGGAAAATTTTGATAGACTTCTGATAGGCTCCCCACAGCTTCCCCATCCTGCTGAGTGTGTCTTACTGGAGATAACACTTCAGCCACTTTGAGGAAGTTGCGAAATTGAAAGCACAGTGGTGACAGCTGTGGGATTGTAACATAGCATTGCTAATGCAATTTGAAAAATGAGTGTAATAACTCTGTGTGGCAATACAGTTTTCTTCCAGGACTGCCATCATGGGGAATATAATAAAAGGCCAAGTAGCTGAGAATCACACTGCAACCAATCACTTTGATGCCTCATTTAAAGGTGGATTTTCATCATTTCTATTAGATCTCACACAACTCACATAACTCAGATCAGAAACTGGGATTTTCCCATGGTTTTACTGAGCTTGTGATTGTGTACAAGAGTTTCTTTTTAAAAAGTGAATATAGTCACTCTTTATACCTGGCTATGTAAGGATGGTGTTCATAGAGCTACATGAGCTACAACTGACCTAAGGCCTTCATGACAACAGGCATAATCCTACATAAATGTTGATAAAAGCTTATTCCAAAAGGCAGTAATTGGATATCAAGTTGACATAACACCTAAGTTGAGTGACAAACCTTTTTAGGCTGACTTGTGTTATGTTATGATAACTGACTTTATATTCTAGTGTACTTCTAGTTAACATGAAGCCCAAACTCAATATAATTAAAATATAGTCTGAGAAAATAAATAACCCTGTTAATATGGTCCTATGACATACGGGTTATAGGTATTTTAAAAACCCTATAAACTGTGAAATTATTATTTTAAAAAATACAAATAATTGATTTAAAGTCAAGAAAAAAACATCATCTCTCACAGTGTCATGACAATGCTATAGGTTTTCATGAAGAAAAATATAAATTGTACAATTAAGGACAATTTTCTTAACCGCCAGGGAAAACATGCATAACTCTATCATGGTAGTGTCATGGCAGCACCAGACATATTAAAATCTTCATAAAAACTTATAAGCAAAGAATAAAACACTTGGGAGTGTGCTGTTATAGTGACATGGTGGTGTGATGTGGCCTGAAATGAAGCAGAGTAATTGTTAACACCCCAAAATATTGTTTTCCTATAACAACACATCCCAAAATATTTTATTAGTCTTATCCCACAGCCAATAATTAAAAAGTTTCTGTTTATTTTTAGACTTAGGTTATGTGGAGTGTCTGGCATACAAGTCCCTGTGAAGGATTGTTTGTTACTACTAAAATAACAATAACTTGCAATTAATGCATTAATATAAACCTGTGATTTTACTTACAGCCGGCACTACAGTACGAGCCATGTTGTTATGGAATATTAATTCCCACCTTCTTAGGTTTATGTATGTGTCATGTAGTCCCAGGGGCACTGTTCTTAAGTGTTAGCTGTGTAATTAAAAAAACAAACAAATAAACAAACAAACAAAAAAACCTTTTACTGTGATTTCCCATCCACAGACGATGAAAATTTGGTAGTAATTTCTGACTACCCATGCCGAGATATAAGTGAGCCGATGTTTAGGATGGGAGAGAAACTGAAGGTTCTGGCTCAGTGAGTACATTTTCAATTCTTTTATGCTACATTATTTGATTTTTACTTCATTATAATTCTAAATGTTTCTGACATTACTAGTTTCATCTGTATCAAACTAGTTTGCTTTACTAATGTCATGTGTAGGGAGGCCTGCTGGTGGAAAGTCCGCTCTTTGCAAACTGGAACTGAGAACTACATCCCAAATAATCATGTGGCAAAGGTCTATCATGGGTTTGTATACAAGCACGTTATTCAATTTGCAGAGTCAAAAGTCAAAAGACACCCCTGTCTAAAAAGATTCCAGTTTGTTAATACTTACATACTTATATAAAACAAGCTTCAAAGCAGTACAATAAAAAAACAGTTGAAATACTGGATATTCCATACATGCCTGTTTTGTTGCTTGATTTAGTAATAGTTGTCATGTTTCTCAAGATGGCTATTTGAAGGAGTGGGGAGGCAAAAAGCAGAGGAACTGCTACATTTACCCGGCAACACAGTCGGCTCTTTCCTCATCAGAGAAAGTCCGAGCCAACGAGGTGAGACTGCTCATGAACCCTTACATGAAATAATAATAATACTAATAATAATAATAATAATAATATTAATAATTTGAGATGGCACCCATCTGATTCCCAGGATTGGGAAAAAATGGTAGATTATATATACACATATATATGTATGTGTGTATGTGTGTGTCACATCACACACACACACACACACACACACACACACATACATACAGTACTGTGCAGAAGTCTTGAAAAAGCAAAGAAATGCTGTAGAGCAAAGATGCCTTCAAAAATAATGAAATTAAATATTTCTACATAAAAAAATATAAAAAATACTATACAGTAAACAGTACTATATGAAACATCAATATTTGGTGTGACGACTGTTTGCTTTTTTTAAAAAAAAAAAGTAGTCTCAGGACACTGTGTGCAGTTTTATAAGGAAATGAGTTATACTAATAAGGAAATAAGTTTTACTGAGCATCTTGCAGAAGCAGCCACAGTTCTTCTGGAGACTTTGACTGTCACACTTGCTTCTTATTTTTGCAGCAAAACCCAGCGGCCTTCATTATGTTTTTTGTCTGAAAAAAAACCTGTCTTTTGCACAGTACTGTATATATTTTAAGTGCTTTGGTTTAAGAAATCATTTGAACTCTTTTTACTTAGTAGCCTTTAAAGGAAAAATATTGAATGGGTATTGATATCGGCTGAAACTTAAGGTTTCTGTAACAGTGTCAGAAAAGAAAAAGTGGCATTGCGCCATCTCTACTACTACTACTACTGCTACTACTAATACTACTACTACTAATAATAATAATATAGCACCTTTCATACATTTAAAATGCAAAGAAAAAACAGAATAAGAAAAGACCAGGTAGTCATAAAATAAAATAATAAAATACTATAAGCAAATAATAATAAAAATAATGCAATAAGTAATAGCAATGACAGAAAGAAGAAAATAATAGCAATGTAAAATGTAAAAGTATACAATTACAATTAAAATAATATTGCGCAATAATTCTAATAATCTAAAAGTAATGTGCCAGTAATGATTATGGATTGTAATGGTAAGGTTCCTTCACCACTTTCACACATGGAATATGGAGAAGACTAACACTAGATGATCTTAAGCCATGATTGGGAACATATCAGGCGTTGAGAGACGCTATTCCATTAAAAGATTTTAAACTAGTCACAGTAGTGTATGTAAAATGAGAAACAGACTTAGAATGTGAAAAGTTATTAATTTTATAAAGAGCAATGTTAATGCATGGTGCATCCTGCAGGTGTGTATTCTCTGTCTGTGAGACACAGAGTCATTAAGCATTATAAGATCCTGCGTCTGGACAACAGCTGGTACTACATCTCTCCTCGTCTCACTTTCCAGTGCCTAGAGGACATGGTCAACCACTACTCGGGTGAGAACTGAACACCAAACATGCTGAGAACAGTGAAATGTGTCATCG